CTGAATGAAGATTAGATGTGGCTAGGAATAAGCTCGGCTTGAGAAATTAATCGGCATACAAAGATTGTTTTTTGTTGTCTTGCTTTTATCCACACGTTTTGTAGGAAAATAAACCAGTAGCAGTGTTCTGAAACAAAATCAATTATTTTTGGAAAGTATAGTTATAAAAATTCGAATTCAAAGCTACAAAAAGCAGACGATTACTGCAATAATTGGTAAAGAATAAGATTCATTAGTTCTTGTCGATAAAATTACATCCTTTAGCTAATTACAGGATATGTCGAATGAATCGGCAGAGGTAGGTTCTTGCATCAGTATCACTTTCCTTGGTTCCGCATACATCATATTTTATCAAACTTGGCTGCAAAATCATCCTTGGTTGCTTGCTTTCTTTAGTTTTGAGTTTTTATTAATTTACTTATCAAAGAAGATGAATCTCCTTCAGGCAAAGAAAATTGCTGAGCGTAACCGCAAGAAAGAAGAAGTACGTAAGCGATTGGAAGAGGCCTCAAGGGCCAAGAAGGCTAAGAAAGGTTTCCTCACACCTGAAAGAAAGAAGAAGCTAAGGGTAAACTTACCCGTTACCAGGTCATGGCGACTATCAATGCAGAAACAACTTTTTTCCAGAAACTTCTTATGATGAAAGCCGCTGAAGATTTGAAACAGCAGCAAATGTTGAAAGAACAAGAAAGACAACGTGTTCTTCAAGAGAGAATTATTCCATTGCCAGATCTTGATGAAGCCAGTAAGTTTGACCATAAATTGGAGAGAAGGAAATCGATATATTGATCGATACACCGATAATGCATACACTTTACAGACGACCTTGAAGCTATTTACGATCAAATGCGTTCACGTCTTATCGACTTGGAAAGCGAAAACTATGACATATCGTACACCGTACGACAGAAGGATTTCGAAATCAACGAGTTGACTATTGCTGTCAACGATCTTCGTGGAAAATTGTATGTAAATGCGCTTCCTAACATAAGTTCTTTGGAAAATTATCAAAAACTTACAAAACAAACCATTTTGTAATTACTGTGCAATCGCACCATGTG